TCAGTGGTGGAGGCTTCAGTGAACGTCATACGCATGCACCGAGCCGAGAAGCTTCAGTCTGCAGTCTGCGCATGCTCGATGCCAGTAAATCTAGCGGCCGAGCGAGCTTTGCGCATGCTCAGTACGAGCCCCAACCATGCGCAGAACGCCATGGTGCGTTCTGCGCATGTCAAGTGTGGTCCCTTGCGGTCACCGGGTTGGGTCGTGCGCCTGCGCCGTAGACGGAGTCAGGGCGGGGGCGCAGCCGCGCTGAAGCCTGGCAGCCGGCGATGGCGGCCGTGGCGGCTTTAGGGGCTGCGGGCCCATGAGGCGGCCCAGGCCCCGCGGACTCAGCACAGCGCGGACGGGGCGGCGGAGGCGCTGCTCGCATCCAGGCCATGGCGGGCGTGTTCGACATTGACCTGGACCAGCCCGAAGACGCGGGTTCGGACGAGGAGTTGGAGGAGGGGGTGAGAGGGGGGAGCCTGAGCCGGCGAGGGGCTGAGAGGCAGCGGGCCTCGCCAGGGGTAGGGCGGGGGGGCCCGGCCCAGTCCGGTGAGCCGCCCGGCCCAGTCCGGTGAGCCGCCCGACCTGGGCTCCGAGGGGGAGACCCACCCGGTCGGGCGACGGGCTTGGAGACGGGTCCGCTCCGGTGAGGGGCCCGATGCGCTGAGGAGGCTGACGGGGGCCGGCCTAGCGAGCGGGAGAGGAGGGGCGGCCTGGGGAGGGAGCGAGGTGTCGTGGCTGGGTGAGCTGCTGCCCGCTTCTGTGGCAATTGCACCACCCATCGCGGGTGGCCCCGCTCTGGGGGTGGGCGGCGCGTCCCCCCACGTTAGCCCTAGGCACTCACTGCTTGGGTAGCGGTTTGTTTTAACGCCGATGTGCCCCACTCAGGCGACACGTTCCTTTCCCCCTTCATATTTGGTGGTTCCCCCCCCGCCTGGCTTTTGAGGTGACGGCTGAGACCTGCACACGGCTGCTGCGGGGCATTTATAGCAGGAGTCACATCTGTCCTGTGCTTGGACTTTGTAGTTATAAAACTTCCCCATAGCGGAGAACTCAATCTGGTACTAAAGATAATAAATTTGAATTGGATCAAATCTTAAGTAACTCAGTAACTAGGATTTCTTTTTCTAAGCATAGATTTATTGCTCTAAGAATTGTCAGTGATTGCCTACTAGCTGATTTACCATAATATGCCAGGCTAAATTTGAGGATGATTTTGTGTGTGAATGAGTGGGTTGTTTTACCTTTTCTAGTATATAATTAAAAGAAAACACAACCCAGAACTACTTATTTTCAGTTCAAAATAGTTTGACATAAGTGTCCCACACATTAGATCAGCCCAGAAATGCTAATCTATATTGGAAAATTTATAATCATCACTTCTGTGCTAACATCTAAAGTCAGAGATGGCATGGTATTTACCAGAGGTGGTTTTTACTACCCTGGGAAAAACTAATTAGTCCCAATTTAAGGCATTTTCTGCTTTAAAAACTATTTTGTTAATGCATACCATATTATTGTTTGTTAGGTATTCAAATTGTGGTTATATAAGGCAGTATATTCATAGATTAATTCAGAGTTTTACAAATAAAAAGTAAAACTGCAGTGGTTGTCATAGTAAATGTGTAATTATAACACTGAACATCTGAATGTCTGTATTTTGGTTCAGTATTTTCTTAAGGAAGTCATACATGTCATGACTCATTTCAGTTTTCAATATTGTATAGACAAAAGTCAAAAACATTTGGTTATATGAAAACTGCAATAATGCAGAGTTGTAGGTTTGAAACCTTAAGCAGTTAGAAGCATACATCCATTTTTGAATGGATGTATCCACAGTTTGACAAGATTTGTTCCTGAACTTGCTGGACACTGATGCAATTAGTTTTTAACAGTTTTCTGGTTTAAACCGGGTTTAAGATGGTATTTATCAGTGCTGTGGCCAAACTTCTTTTCTCCAGGGAATTGTCAATCCTGTCTAAAGTGCACAGCCATTGAACTGTAAAAAGTTTATAGTGAATACCAGGTACAGAAGAGTGATGAATGTTACAGCCTCTCCAAAATAAACTGAGCGCCTCACCTTATGTCAAGCTCCTATTACCTTGCCAATCTGATGTTGCTCTTGATCTTGTGTCTTTAGGGTTGTACCATTACAGTCTGAAACCAGCCATTGCTTACAGTATTTTTACATAGCTTATTTGGTGTCCATCAGTGTCAATAGTTTAAAAACAGTACAGATATTATTTTGCTGGCTCACTGTAGCCAATATAATTTCTCAACTTTAAAGAAAAGACCCTGGGAGCAACATCAGTAACCAACAAAATGCCTGGCTAAAAATGTCCCTCAGATCACACTTTGAAGGCTGCCAACAGACTCAGATCGTCCATGGAAGTGAGCAAATTGCGGTCCTAGAGTTCCCAAAAGTTCAACCCTAAGGACTGAGAGTCAGAGAATCCTAACTCATCAACCGTTATGACTGTACTCTCCCATAAATGTGGGTAATATTTGCAGCACAATTTCCGTTAGAGTTAATGCCCATTAACAAGCAAACTTGGCTCTCGGGCAGGATGAACAATCAAATTCAGTTCATGACTACTCTCACTTTCAGTGTTAGTAACACTAGAAGGGGAAAAAAGCAATAAAATAAGGCTTTTGAACAATAAAGAGTAGAGTTACTGTAGACTTAGTATATTTAAAGCAAAACATAGAACCAAAGAGGAGAACACAAGAGCAAATAATTTGAGGGTGGAGGATCAACAGGAGAGCATGAGCTTTACTGAAAGCTACCTCCAGGTGGCATAGTGCGTAACTCTGAGGAACAGAAACACATCTCTGAACTGAGAGTTTGAAATCATCAAACTGTATGTGAGCTGGATGTGAAGCTACATTAGACTAGGTAATACTGCAGCTGGAAAGTTTTCACTCCAAAAAGCTATCATGGCAGGAACAAGAACAAGTGCTGTTACAGGTGTGCCTACAGATACGGCTAACCTAGGAAATGAAATTGCCACAAGACTACTTCTGACTAGGGAGATTGCAATTAAGCCACAGTTCTTGGTTGCCACAGAGTTTTATTGAATATAACAGCAGCTTTAATATTTCTCTCATCTGTAAGAAAGTCAAATGACAGTAAATGCAAACCAAAGTGAGACTGTCCAGCTAGAATACTACTAGTCTTCAAATGCTTGGTTGTCTGAGATGACAAGAAGGAAGACCCATGGCTTCTTGAATGAAAAACAGATTTAAAAAAAACTTTTAAAAAACAAGTGTAATGCTGATGAAAATGAGACTTGGAAAATGAAAGCCTCTGTTTACAGAACAAGACCAGTATGGCTGACAGTATAACATGCTTTCCTAACTTGAATCACGGTATGATTGTCAAATAATTGCGGCTGAGTTGCAGACAAGGCATGGAAAAGTAATAATGGACCATTATTATTTGCGGTAATTTGGAAAAGCCAGAGAAGACCTATTTGTTTAAGAAAAATTTGCTAGTGCAATATAAACACTCAAGTCTTGTTATGCTTGCTAATTTTTTTGATAACCAGACATTTTGCTGCAACTATATTACAGTAATTAATGCGCAGGGCTGACAACAGGAGCCCCGCTACTATCCGCTTGGATAAATGGGGAAAGTACTGTACTAATGGGGGGAAAAAGTGTGTTGCAAACCTCAAAATGTATGCAAAATTGTGGACTGTGCAAAGTAAGCTAATTAAAATCAGAATTGCAGTGGAAGCCTAATATTGCGGGATGCACAATATCGTGAATTACGTAGGGCCTTACTTATTGAATATTTTACAATGTAAAAATGAAAATTGCAACTTTCAGACCTTTGTATGGCTTCCTTTCCCTAATTCTTTAGAATTTCACGGTTAATTCACTATATCTGTTTCCAGTTCCATTAGTCATCTGGTTCCACAATAAGTCAGATTCTTTAGGGGAAACCTTTGTACAGGATAGCCATTATATGTATGAGTCCTGTTCACCAAATTCTTACATGAACGCAGGTGTAAAAATAAAAATTTAAAAGCCACTGCATTTTTACAAGATTTATCTGGAGTTGGATTCATTGCTGCGTGTACAAACATAATCAGATAACTGCAGTTAGCTAAAAAGTAGTGGGTTCCCCTGCTGTAGTTGTGGGATCCTTGGGAATTTTGCAACTTTTCTGCAGAACTCTATAAATGTTTTGTGAAAGCCTATAATACAAATTGCTTCCTTCTGATAATTTATTGCATATGACTTCTTAGCCAGTTTAACAAATTTTAGAGCTAAATCAGTCAGACCGTGACATGTTTTTGTTTTTTAAACAAAGCTTACTGTTAGTACTCACTGTTTTTGTTTACAGTTATGGTGTTATTGTAGTGACTTTTTTAAACTTTCTCCCCCTCCATCCCAGGGTCAGTTAAGTGAAAGCATGGACCATGGAGGAGTTGGCCAATATGAAATGTAAGTTCCTATTAGAAAACATTTCTGTAATATTCATGATAACTACAAATAGTTTTTCTCGAATTTAATAGAAAAGTTAATTAAATTAATTCAAGTTTTATAGCTATATCTTGTAACAAAAGAATTCTATGGGGAAATTGGCAACAATCTGCAGTGTCTTACGTTTTGTATCTTACTTGTCCCTATACTTTTACTTTATTTGAATACTATTTGTAATCAGGCTCATTCCGATATATTAAATGTTGTTAATATAGTGCACTTTTATAAAACCCAATTTATCAAGAGATTGCAGAGGACTTTACACTCCTTAAGCTCCTGAATAAGCATTTAAACATGGCTTTTCCTGGAAGGTGCTATAACATGCGTTCCTAACCAGTATATGTCAAGCCTAATCTTGTTTTTAAAAAACTAATTATAAACTCCATTATAGGCTACATCGATTTATTACTTTTCTGGGGGGAAAAGTTTAAAAACTATCGTACTTTGGTTTGAACAATTTCACTGTATGAAATCTTGCAGCCCCCTGTGAAGTGGTAGATATTATCTCCATTTTACAGAAGGTTCTGACAATGATGGAGAGGTTCTGGTGTTTGCAAGTTCACATAGCAAACCAGTGGCAGATAGGTGAATAGAATTCAGGAGTTCTGACTTCAAGTCTTCTAGAAAACATTGCTGCCCTTAAGTCTCATTAAAACTACCTTGGTTGCTTAGGGGCTAAGTCTGAAAATGCATCATGTTGGAAGACTCAGTGAGAACATGGTAGTGACACAGCTAAAACACAATTCAATCTTGTCAGCATAGACAGGACCAAACTGTGTTACTGACTTATACTTTGCAGGGTTTAGCATAATTTAGAAACATCATTAAGTATTGGGTTAATCCTCTACTTTAGCAAGATTGAACCATATTTTAGCTTACCTTACTATTTTTGCAAGATAGTAAGACTTTCATCATGTAAATATGACCCTACAAATCACACCTGGGAGTCCTGTAACTTTTAATGGAATTTATAAACCTAATTTTTATTTTAAGGGTAGCAGCAATGCTCCTCAATTAACTTAATTGCCAAAGGTTCCTGTTTCAGTCGTCAGAACATGTACACTTTTATAAAATGTCATTTCAGGAAATGCATGACTCTGTGAATCCTAGGAACTTCCCAAATTTCTGCATGAAGCAAGCTGCCACTCATCGCTATACATACACATTAATAGAATTCCTGGTGTTACAATTCTGGACATCTCCTAAGCACACCGTCAGTTGTGCCAGTGAATATAATGTGCTTTCTGCAGAGAAATTTGCCTGATTATTCTTTCTTTAACTTGAGTTAATTTTGTAATACACTGTTTTGTCTTTATTCAGTGGCCTGGAACATTGTGAAAAATTTGAGATTTCGGAAACTAGTGTAAACAGAGGTCCAGAAAAGATCCGACCAGAATGTTTTGAGTTACTACGTGTACTTGGCAAAGGTGGTTATGGAAAGGTACAAAATCTTCATCTCGGAAAATCCATTATCCATCACACTGGAGGCAATGAAAGAATTTTCTTGTTGGCTCCCTGTTATATGTCCTATGTTTCCAGAAAAATTCTGCCTTTCCAGAGGCAACAATGAGCTGATGCAGACCAGTGTCCAGTATGAAATCACCATTCTTTTTTATTGGCAATGCATTTGATCAAAATTGACTTTAGTGATTGTGATCAGTTGCACAACTTTATCACCAGTTGGTAATAGAAGACTTTAAAGTATATATTAGAATTCTAACTGCCACTGTGACTTGTAAGCAATTTATTTACTTTTTGTACCATAGGTTTTTCAAGTACGAAAAGTAACAGGAGCAAATATTGGAAAAATTTTTGCCATGAAAGTTCTTAAAAAGGTAACTTGGTCTTCACTTTTGGCTGGTTTCCAATCCAAAAAAGGTGGTTTTTTTTGGTCCCCTTTGCAATGTAATTACTATATAATAATTGTTCTAATGTGCCAAGATTGAACATTTGTCATTAATGTATTAAAATTAATCTTTACGTCCATTTAAAATTGAAATATGTATTATCACATTTTCTCTAACATCTATTGTGTGGTCCTAGACAATTGGTCTCTGTTTTTAATTAATTTAAAAACATGAGTGTGATTTCATATTTAACAATAATGCAAGAACAACTAAGCAGTTTTTTTATCATGTTGCTGACTCAGAGTGTTATTGTGACAATTATGTGGAGAATGTGGAGACTTCTGTAAATTGGGAATAGAACTCTAGGTAGAATTCTGCCTCATTTAGGAATTCCATGTTCTTTGCTCTCATGTCATTTTTCTTTGTTCTGTAGGCAATGATTGTAAGGAATGCAAAAGACACAGCACACACAAAAGCTGAGCGTAATATCCTGGAGGAAGTGAAGCATCCCTTCATTGTAGATTTAATTTATGCCTTTCAGACTGGTGGAAAACTCTACCTCATCCTTGAGTATCTCAGTGGTCAGTATATTTAATTCTGCTATACAGGAGATTTTCAGTATCCCTTATTTAATCTAGAATCTGAAAAGTTCTTATTTTTCCCCTTTATAAAATCCCAGCTAAGCACTCATAGTTGACTTAAATTATTCTGCACATTTTCATAATTAATGTGAAACCTATAACTCAATCTATATAAACTGCATAACAAAACTGATGTTAAGAATATCTTACAGGGAAGTAAAGGAGGGGGAATTTCTAATGATCGTATACCAGGAATTCTGTCTCCAGGGTCCTCTGACTCCTAATTGATACTTCCTGTATTAAGTGAATATTCACCCGCTTTTCACGCATTTTTAATCCGGGGTTGTTATAGTCTTCTGCAGAGCATAATTCCATCATCTATCCTTTGATAAGGGAATGTGTAGTTCTTTAATTATGATTAGAAATGAAAAATGTATTTTCAGTAGCAGTGTAACAGAAATATGGATTCTTGCTTCTAACATCTTATTTTCCCCTTGTAGGAGGAGAACTATTTATGCAGTTAGAGCGAGAAGGAATTTTTATGGAAGACACAGCCTGGTATGTGAAACAAAATTGGCACTTTTGTGGCTTAGTAGAATTCAAGAGAGAAACATACAACTGTATTTTAATAATCTAGTTTAGTGAGCTACGCAGTTCAATGAGTCTTTCTTGGAGGTGGTGGCTATTCCGTATATCTTACTCTGCTGAATCTCTGACCAGCTAGTGTTGGAATGGCATTAGTCTGTGAGAAGGTTCACTGCCCACCCTATTGAAGGTTGTCATTATATTCTACTGGAACTTAGGCATGTGCTTGCAGAGGGGATGCACTTGAGTTGGTGGGGAATGGCAGCCTACACCTGAATTTCTAGGTACCTTCTGCATGAAAGAAATGTTCAAAACCTTGCGTAAAAGTTTGTAGCTTCTGTTGACTGCAGTTCACTTTTAGAAGTGGTGTAATTACTGTATTTATCCTACTTTTTCTGAGCACATATGTGAAGAAAGAACTGGACTTCTGTGTAAATGATCATTCTGCTTAGAGAGCCTTTTCAGTAGCTACATTTCACACCTGACCTAGGTAAATGAAGTGCACTTTCTTGATTCGGCTTTACACAGCACATAAGAGGGGATGATAGCTCCATCTTCCCACAACGTATGCTGTGAGTGTTTTGGAACAGCTCAGATGTACATATAGGATTGCAGCTGTATGCTACAGAGAGCACTGCAGCGCAGAGCTTTCCTCTTCCTTCCCAGAACAGTGCATCAGTTTAGAGCCAGACTTAATGACTAGCAAATTCAGATCGCAACAAAAATATTCAAGACAGAGTAACTACTAAACAAATTAACCTAATGCTGATGGTGTAATTTTGTTGTTCCATTGTGTCCCTATGCTCTTTGGCAAATAAACCTCAATAGCATAATTATTCTACTAATTTATTCTGTGATGCACATCTAACTATACTTTCAAGGAATCATTGCTGTGTACTAGCAAGTATAATTGTTTTAGTGCTTAAGATGCTTTGTGTGGTTGAATGAGTTTAATTGTATCAAATCCCTTTTGTTTCAGCTTTTACTTGGCAGAGATCTCAATGGCTTTGGGGCACTTACATCAAAAAGGAATCATCTATCGAGATCTGAAGCCGGAAAATATCATGCTTAATCGTCAAGGTGGAAATATAGTAAACAATTGTGTAACCAATAATCCTCTCAAAATCCTTTCTCACAGGTCACAGCATAATATAAAATTACCTCAGAAAACTTACTACTGTTATCCTTCTTTTTTCCTGATACACCCATACAAGTAGCTGCCATTTGCTAGTCATGGCATGGCGTTCGTTGTAGTAGTTACAGCACTTTAGTACTGGAAGTGGCAGAACAAATTGGTCAGGAAGGGGCAAGAGACTTTTAGAGTAAACCCACTGAAGACTTTTCTATTCATTAGTGGGATATTCTCATGCAGCTGAGTCATCTATGCATGATATCTAAATTCAAACCTGCTCTGTAATTTTCATGTTTACGAATAACTATGCTAATACTGATGATGTAGCTTTTTAAAAGGAAACAATTAAAAAAAACCTGTCACTTTACTTGATCGTAGCAGCAAGTTCAAAGCTCTGTGTGTGTTGAGCACTAATGCCTGCAGCACTATTGATTAGTGCCATCAAATCCTAGCATTAAAGAGCTAAAAGACTACTTTTAAGCAAGGTGTTCACTGACTGTGAATGTTTACTAGTGCATAGTGGTTCTGGAGAGTGAAAGTTATAAATTAGAAATGAATTGTGACACTGATTTTGGTTTCTAAATTCTGGAGTAAGCATAAGACTAGGTGACTTGATTTCATCTCGGCAGCAGTGCAGTCTTTTAGAGAGATGTTGTTTGCAAATATGTAAAAAAGTTGTATATGATTAATAAAAAAAACTTACTGCATTGTGCTAATAATCAACAACTTGATTCTGTATGAATGGGAATAAGCTCATATAAAAATAGTCAGGAGGCTGCTACTTAGATCTATCTGTTTCTTTGTGCCTAACTAGTAGAAGGGTTGCAATAAGATGTGAACAATTAGTTTATTGTGAGTTTCTACAGGTCTAAGTAATGAGAACAGAACATGAAGAAACCATTTTTTTTTCATGGCTTTGAGATTCTCTTGGTGGCTTTGCTGTGTTTTTGTTCCTCTCCACTGAATGACAACCCTTTTTCATGCAAAAATAAGCCTGTATCTTCATTAACTATAGTTCAAAGATTTTTTTTAAATGACTAAGTCATTTTTCAATCTTATCAGATCAATAGAAGAAGACTCTGATGCCTACTGTGAAGAGTCCTGTTTTGTTACTATAGACAATAGACATATTTGCACTGTCCATTTTATAAATTACATTTATGTTGAGTTGCTGATATGCATATAATTCCATTTCAGAATTTGGAGTGATTTTAGAATTAGATGTTTTCTTTTATTTCTTTCAGGTCATGTAAAACTAACAGACTTCGGACTATGTAAAGAATCTATTCATGATGGAACAGTCACACACACTTTCTGTGGAACAATAGAATACATGTGAGCTGCATGATGAAACAGAAAAGTATTACTCTGGTCTGGGGGTAATGGCTAAATTTTACCTTTTTTAACTGATGGTTCAATGTGTCCAGTTATTTATGGAACTTTCAGATTATAAATGTGGATTATGTTTAAAAACTTGAAACCTGAGCCGTAATTGAGTATTTAATAAAATACTTTCATATTTCTAATTTTTCTCATTCTAGGGCCCCTGAAATCTTGATGAGAAGTGGGCATAATCGTGCTGTGGACTGGTGGAGTTTGGGGGCATTGATGTATGACATGCTGACTGGAGCAGTAGGTGCACAGTTAAAAACTGCATACATTTTATTCTACATCACTAATCACTGAAGTTCGTTGGATCATTCAGGTGTAGGCATAGATAGATATGTATGTACTTATATCAGCTGCTGGTAAGAAACCTAACTAAAAAAATGGCTAAACCTTTTTAACCATGGTCTTGGGCTGTTCTGTAGTAGCCCAAGCAAATATTTGGAAGTCACATTTGAAGCAATTATAACCCTGTTTCACAAGTGGCTGAAACTAGCCCTGTTCCATATATGCAAATGAAGAGAGTGGAACAGGTATTTGTTAATTACTGTGGGTCACAAGTTCATTTCAATGGGGTCGCCTAGGCAGGGCCGGCATTAGACTCTGAGAGGCCAAGGGCAGAAAGCTGAAGCCTGAACCCCGCTGTGCAGGGCTGAAGCCAAAGCAACTTAGTTTCACAGGCCCCCTATGGCATGGGGCCCCATGCAATTGCCCTGCTTGCAATGCATTTTTTATTTAAAATATTAACTATTCTGGAGTAACACTGGGCACTGGGGTCACGTGGTAATTTTTGTTGTCAGGAGCAGGGTTGCAGTGCAATGAAGTTAGAGAACGACTGTGCTAGAGTTTTTCACATGGTTTTCTTCACACTGCAATGATGTTTTTCAGCCCCCGTTCACTGGGGAGAACCGAAAGAAAACCATTGACAAGATTCTCAAATGTAAACTCAACTTGCCTCCCTACCTCACGCAAGAAGCCAGAGATCTGCTTAAAAAGGTAAAGTTTTAATTAATGTTAAACCTACATGTATATGCAGATATTAGAAACATACTGGTCAATATTGCTGTACTGCTTTTTCCCAGGTGAATCCTAGTGCTACTATATTTCAATCAACGTAATCTTTTAATGGAGCTCGGTTCTGTCTTCAAGTTGCATGAGGCAGAAAATAATGCTTTGTTTGAGAAAACAATTCTAAAGTTGTTTGTTCTGAGAACTGCCTTAAGATTGTTAACAGAGACAATATGGGTGAGATAATATCTTTTTTTGGACCAACTTTTGTTGGAGAGAGAGACAAGCTTTCGAGCTTACACAGCGCTCTTCTTCTGTGTAAGCTCAAAAGCCTCTCTCTCTCTCCAACAGAAGTGGTCCAATAAGAGAGATTAACTTACCCACCTTGTCTCTAGTATTCTGGGACCAGCATGGCTACAACAGCACACATACAATAATGGAAGATATTAAAATTGTAATTTCATTGTACAGTAACTACTACGTGGTTAGTTCAAATAATATTTAACACAGATGTAAAGTGTTTCTATTGATGATTTTTAGTAGAAATACTCTTCAAAAATTGTTTAACCATTTCAATAAATTATTTCCTTGGTGTTTTTCTCCTCTAAGCTGCTAAAAAGAAATGCTGCCTCACGTCTAGGAGCTGGTTCTGGAGATGCTGGAGAAGTTCAGGTAGATCTTGTTTAATTTCTCTTGATTATCTTATTTAGAAACAAGATTCAAGGATAGTCCAAGAAGAATAGACATGGTAGAATGTCATTCTCTGAAGCACAGTGAGAGCAGAGGCAGGGATTTAGACAAAGAGTCAAATGTTTCCTCTGAGGAATTTAAGGAAGGGTTAGATAGATATCTAAGTAATAAAGGGCTCAAGGAAACAGTTAGTGGGGTGAAGGATGGGGTCCTGAGGATTTCATTGCTCTCCTCCCCCTCAATTTTTTTTCGCTTTCCTACATCCCATGTCCCCCTTTCTTTATCAGTTACTCAGTGAACAAATTGATACATTGTGGTATTCTAGTGGGTTGGTGAATAACCAACACAGGCATTTGGGGTTGAGTGTCAGGAAAGATGTTACATTTTGCACTCCTAATGTGAAACAGATGTAACTCAATTATTTCATCTACTACAAAATTATTTAAAGCTTGTCCCAGGCCTACACAGATTGGGTTTTGTGGCTATATTTAAACATGTCCTGTACAACTCACGTCATTCCATATTTTAATAGTTCTATGGTTAATTGTCAGTTTTTATGACATTGCTATTAGAAATTCATCTGAAATATTTTCAAGAGATGTAGATGTGCGTGGCACATCACCTAGATTGGTAATATGGAGTTAATTTCTTCTGTAACTTTAACAGATCAGAAACTAAAAGAATAATGAGCAAAACAAAAGCCTACATATGCATAAAAGTGACAATAGGCATAATGTGCAAAATAGCAATATTTCACCATTCCCAGCAAGTTATAGCAGAAGATAAGATATCAGGTACTGAGAAGCTCTCACAAATCATTGTCAGTCATCCTTATGTTCTAAAGGATGGCAAATTTCCCCAAATTTCTCTATTTAGAAAGCAACAAAGAGTCCTGTGGCACCTTAAAGACTAACAGACGTATTGGAGCATAACCTTTCGTGGGTGAATACCCACTTCGTCGGATATTCACCCACGAAAGCTTATGCTCCAATAGGTCTGTTAGTCTATAAGGTGCCACAGGACTCTTAGTCTGGATCTGTAGAAAGCAACAAACACGGCTACCCCTCTGATACTTGACTTTATTTAGAAAGTGTCACTTTCTAAAAAGCCAATACATCTGCCATACATACAGACCAGTCTTTGGTTGTGGTAGTAGATTTTTGCATCTATAAAGTTAAATACATTTGGCATGTAATATCCCTAAGAAGCTCATGTGTACTATCACATTGAAATCATAAACAATCGAGTGACCGTGGTATTACTGCATCTCATACATTTTCAGTCAATAGAATGACATCAGATTTGATGTGTAGGCAAAGGAAATTCCCAGTCATTTTCTTTTAATCCACTATTTCACTGCTAGTGACGAATGTACATAATGAAGAACTGTGAATTTAGAACCATTTTGCTAGGTTGAGGCAGTCTCGTGAGGAAATCCTGATACAATCACACATTTTACTGAAAGTTTATATTTAAGAATTTTTCAATGACAATTTTAAGCTATTCGTGACTATTCTAATAGAGCACTGTAGGACAAATAATAGATGCTGCACTTGAAGTACTTACAGTTTTAGAAGGAAAGGAGCCCAAAGTTGAGGTCTGAAGAGACCTAGCTTCTTATTCCTCAGATATTCTCATCTTAGCTTGCTTTATGAACATTAGAAAATATAGTTCATTTTCCTATCTACAAGGTCAACAAATATCCATTCTTAATTTCTGCCAGGAAGACCAATTATGTTTTTCATTCTTGTGAATTTTCTTAGGCTCACCCTTTCTTCAGACACATTAACTGGGAAGAGCTGCTAGCTCGGAAGGTGGAACCTCCCTTTAAACCATTATTGGTACGTACCGGGAATACAGTAAATTGTTTGTTCCTTGTATGCCTCTTAGCAGCAGTTCTCAAACTTTGACTTACCATATTGGATCTAAAATTCAAAAGTACTTGTCATGCTACCTTTGTAACTACTCAGTTATAATGGATTTATACTCTGATAAACTGACCCATATATCACAGTTTGAGAACCTCTGCTCATAGTACTGTAAAAGCTGCACACTTAATTGAAACAACTTCAGTTACTGGTACTCCTGTCCCCACTCCACTCTAGGCCCACCTCTTCCCACCCCCACTCCACCTCCTCTCTGGAGCAGCTGCATCCCCGCTCCTTCCTGGAAAGGCGGCGCTTCCCTGCTCCTTTCCCTCCCTCCCAGAAAGTCCTAAGCGCCGCCAAACAGCTGTTTGGCGATGGGGGAAGCGCTGGGAGGGAGGTGGAGAAGAGGAACTTCTGCAATGCTCCCTTGTAAAGTTGCTGCCCTTCCACAGACTCTTACAAGCAGTGGACAGAGCAGGCAGCGAAACAACGTTATAAGGCAGCATTGCACAACTTTAAACGAGCATGTTCCCTAATTGAGCAGCAATGTAACTTTGAAACAACGTTAAGCGGGAGGATGTTAAGTGAGGAGTTACTGTACAGAGTCAGTGTAGACTCTTAATTCTTAAAAAGCAACAGAGGGTCCTGTGGCACCTTAAAACTATCTGTTAGTCTTAAAGGTGCCACAGGACCCTCTGTTGCTTTTTACAGATTCAGACTAACACGGCTACCCCTCTGATTCTTAATTCTTAGTTTTACTGATTATTTTCCATTAATCCCAGAGTGTGGAAGAAGTGGAGCAGTTCCATTTCAATTTTACATCCTCTTATTTGTAACCTTCTGGCTATACAGACTCAGAGGTGCAATTCTTATTTCTGAATTTGTTTCTAAGCATCAAACATGCAGCCAATACTTGACTGAAACTAAAATTTTAAATAGTCACTCAGTAAAATGTGAATCAAGTCACTTTATTCAACATCTTGAGTGTTACTTCACTAATATTTATCTTGCACTTAGTTTTACAAGCATCATTTAACTTTAATCTTAATATGGCAATATTGTTAATAAGGCCCAAGTCCCTAATCTATTGGACTGCAGTTCAAAAAAAGGCTCATATTTATGAATATGTCACCTGTACAAGATGACTGAACTTGCATCTTATAACTTTAGCAAACTGCAGAATTTGCTGATCAGTTATACTAACCAGATTGTTAAAGTAAGGCAAGATCTCTGTACAATTGTGAAGCTAAATTTTTCAACAATCATTCAGGGATCTGTGAGAAGACATAAATTTGGGAGAACTGCCACTGGAAAAATCTGTTCAATTCCTCAGCTGAACAACAGACAGTTACTTGGTAGTCATTTTTTCAATTAATGCTTTCTGTCCTTAGCAAGACAAGCATTTTTGCTTCTATGAAAATGTGCTGGATTATTTAGTGTGTGAAATTCCAGTAGACTAACTGGTGTAACTTCCATATTGAGAGTGACCCAGTGTTTAGCTCTCACAAGAAACTGGCATTTGTTTCTGTTGTAATTTGAGATTATTTTAAAGGCATCTTTTTAATTTTGTGTTCCTTTTTGATCCATAATTCTTGCCCCTCCCCCTTGCCTTTATTTCTCAGTGTCAGTGCCCATAGTGACCTCCCACTGGCAACGGCAGGATTCCGACTCCTCTCCAAGGTTTTACTACAGCAGAGCTCTGCCAAAAACCTATGGGATGAACTCCATCCAGAGGCTTCACTGATCACCGCTAAGCCATTTGGTTGATATCTGTATTATAAACCCTTAATCATTTTGTTTTTGCAAAGCAATCCGAAGAGGATGTGAGCCAGTTTGATTCAAAGTTTACACGTCAGACACCTGTTGATAGCCCAGATGACTCAACTCTCAGTGAAAGTGCCAACCGGGTCTTCCTGGTAAGTGACCAGGGATCTGTGTGTGTTGACTTTGGAGAGATACATTGTGTTCTTGTTTGGAAATGGTATAGCACATTTCAGGTGAATTCCTTCCATCTCTGGAAAGAAAAGGTTGAATCTTACCACTTATAAGAGTGAGAACTATTTGTGTCAGACAAGTTCTAATACATCAAAATTTTAAATATATTACTCCTTGCAAAAGGGTAGCTTCTTTTTGGCCATTTTGCCTTGTAACATTTGATATTTACTTAGGCTGGGTTACAGCCTCATTTTTACACAGGACGATAAGATTCTAGATTTTAAAAAGGGAATCTTGTTCACATTTTGTAGTAAAATGGACACTAATTCTAAATTGCAGTAGGAGCGAAATTGCTTATTACTTCAGTAGGAATGCAGAGAGAACTATGTCCAAAGTGGTTACAGTGTAGATCAAAATTACGTTGCCTTTGAGCTTTGTTTATATGGATCTATAATCTGAACAGCAACGTCTGGGCTGCCCAAGCACGCTGCCTATATCCGTGGAGGGGGATTACACTTGCATTCCCCACCTAAGGAATTAACGAGTCGTAGTACCAGCCATTCCTTAGGTCATTCTGCTATCACTTTAGAGGACAGGATTAGAATTCAAAATGACCTTGACGAATTGGTCTGAATTCAACAAGTTGAAATTCAGTAAAGACAAGTCCAAAGTATTACACTTAGGAAGGAAAAATCAAATGCACAATTACAAAGTGGGGAATAACTGGCTAGGCAGAATTACTTCTGGAAAAGATCTGGGGGTTCTAGTGGATTGCAAATTCAGTATGAGTCAATGTGATGTAGTTCTGAAAAAGGCTAATAGTATTCTGGTGTATATTAACAGAAGTGTTGTATGTAAGTCTCTGGAGGTAATTATCCCAGTCTGCTTAGCACTGGCGAGGCCTCAGGTGGAGTACTGTGTCCAGATCTGGGTGCCACACTTTAAGAAAGATGTGGACAAATTGGAGCGAGTCTGGAAGAGAGTAACAAAAATGATAAACGGTTTAGAAAACCTGACCTGTGAGGCAAGGTTGAAACTGGCCACATTTGGTCTTCAGAAAATAAGACTGAGGGGAAACGTGATAAGACTTCAAATATGTCAAGAGCTGTTACAAAGAGGATAGTGATCAATTGTTCTTCATGTCTATGTTCTTAATCTACAGCAAAAGACACTTAGGTTAGGATGTCTGGGTTAGGAAAATTTTTCTAGCTAGAAGGATAGTTAAGCCTTGGAATAGGATTCCAAGGGAGGTTGTGAAATCCCCATCATTGGAGGTTTTTAAGAAGAGGTTGGAGAAACACCTGTCAGGGATGGTCTGTGTGTACTTGGCCTACCTCAGTGCAGAGGGCTGGACTAGCAGACTTCTTGAGGTCCCTTCCAACCTTACATTTCTGTGATTCCATGGTCATAAATAAACCTTTCCTACCAATCACAATGAAATTATTCCTGTCTTTCAGGGTTTTACGTATGTGGCTCCATCCGTACTTGAAAGCGTAAAAGAGAAGTTTTCTTTTGAACCAAAAATTCGATCACCTCGCAGATTCATTGGCAGTCCAAGGACACCAGTCAGGTATTTTTTTTAACAATTTACTTTTCAGTGAGCAATTGTAAATGATCTCCATTAAAAACATTAAGAATATTACTTTTTTTTTTTTGAAAGAGCTAGGGTGCTTATTTTTGAACACAACATGCTTTCTGCACATTTTACAAGCAGCTTCCCTGCAGGCAAGCTTATCTTTGGCAGCACAGGAAACACTGATCTGCCTGATACACATTATTGATACATCCTGCCATTCTGGTGACTTCAATACACCATCTTCTAAAACTGCTGCTGGATCCTCTATATGTTCCTGTGCTGCTCATGATGAGAGTAGCGCAAAATCTCCCTTCTTCCACATACCTACAAGCATGTTACATGGTGAATGCCAAATGAGAAAAGTCTAGTGTCAGTGTGTCTAGTTTATAGTGAGTTTTGGTAGGAACTAGCCCAGATACATGCTTCTCTCAAACCAGGGAAGGGGAAGCAAAAACTAATAAACGCTTCAGAGAACAGGCATTTATGCTCCAATTCTTGCAGTGTGAAGGAAATGTCTTAGCATCGCATGTATCCTGAATGCTAAGTGTTTTATATTTTTTGTCTTAAAGCCCTGTAAAGTTCTCCCCTGGGGATTTCTGGGGAAGAGGTGCTTCAGCCAGTGCACCAAATACGCAGACACCTGTGGAATATCCAGTGGAGCCAAGTGGAATAGAACAAATGGATGTGACAGTTTGTGGCGAGGCCTCAGCACCACTTCCAATACGACAACCAAACTCTGGGCCATATAAAAAACAAGCCTTTCCCATGATTTCCAAACGGCCAGAGCACTTGCGCATGAATCTATGACAACACAACCTTTTTTTTTTTTTTTTTTTTTTTTTTTTTTAAACCTGTAAAGGTGGAAAAACAAAGAATGATGGACATAAGCCCCCTGCCAGTTGAAATGTGAGGGCTCATATGGTTTACTTTTTAAAAGTGACAGTATCAGAGTCATTGCACAGAACGACTTGGAAAGAAAAGAAAAACAAACAAATGGATTTTTTTCTATTAATCAATGGTGCATAAAAAAACTTAAGCAAAATGGTATTGCAGAACTCTAGGCACATCAGCTAACTGATTCCCAGTGACATCAACTCGCCTTATTAAGGATTTTTCAGGTTGATAGCTTGAAACTGACAGTATTAAGGGTAGGATGTTGCTCCAGAATCACTGTCTAGTCATGATTGTGTCAAGAAGGGTTAGCCCTTTCACTAGGCAGAGTGTGAAATGCCTATAATTCTTGCGTCTGAGGATTAATTAGCATGCAAGCTTGGTCCAGCTGTTTCCTACAATGGTGTGGAATCAAAGATGAAAGATAAACTTAACAATTGATGTTTCACGTGCAAACAACTTAATGAATTTTTTTTATATAAATATATATTTTTCAAATAGATTTTTTGATTCAGCTCATTATGGAAAGTATCCCAAAATTTAAAACAATTATTTGTTGGTGTGAAGAAAAGGTTGACTCAGTTAGTTTTTTCTTCTCCTGGTGAAACAGTATATTGGTAAAGGAATCATTGTTAATTACTTACATGGCTGTTGGGGGTAAGAGGAGGGAGAGAATTGTCTTATTTGCTTACCCAGCTAAAATATCTATATCATCTGTATTGCTAAAAAAACCAATCCTAATCAAATGGCAATGCTGCTATGTTCTAGGCTTAACTGGAAGCCTTGGGCTGCACACATGTCCTGCATATTTCACCATTGTCTTTGGCAGACATTTCACTGGAAAAAATTGCCTTTCATTTGTATGCCAGTCATTTGGTTCAAGACAGCTGAACATGTTCAGATTCTTATCCATCTAAACAGGTCAGGATAAAATCCATCAGACGGCAAGGGTCAGGGAATGCATTGCCACAGTGAACATCTACAAGTTCAGCAAGTCATAAGTGAATAAAAGCTTTTCAACTAATGGGTAAGAATTAGAGGGATTTTTGTATGGTTTTTGTCTCACATTTCCACAAAAATTAAAGTAACTTTTCCCCTGTGCTGGGGCAACAAGTTTTCTGATTGTATTTAAAAAAAAAAAAAAAAAGAGAGAGAGAGAGAAAAGTATTGGCCTTTCAATGAATGTCTTCCACAGTGGGTCAGAACTTTAGCAACTTAATTTAGGAAACATGTTCTAAAGATACTATTTATGTTCTTGAAATTGTCATTAAATCTGTACAAATGATTTACAGGTACAAAGAATAAAAGAAAGGTAACTGTACCTTACTTAAATACTTCCTGCCTTAAAGAAAGCATTTCCATGAACATAGCTGGTGAAAGGGTTAATATCTGCAGAGCTTTACCCTAGTTAGAGTGCGTGTATGATGTGTGCGTGCGTGTGTAAATGATCATGCAACTGCATACAAGTCCTGTCACTTTTCGCTTGCCTCATGTTGCATTATCTTCAGTCTGACTGTGCAAAGTCTACTTCTGGTGTTTCATAACAGTAGCGATCTCTTTATAAATTCTGCTTGCTCTGTGTATAGTGAATCTTCTTGAGCCATAGGATCCAAGCCATAAAACTCTCATAAGCACGTTGAATCCAGTCAGAGAGGCACCACCTTCTACAACTTGCAAGTCAGTAGGGTTGAATGAAATCTTATTAATCCCCCTATAAAATGCGAATATCAGTACTTGACTTTTTAATTTTCTTATGATTAGCAAAATTACTATTAGCAGTTTTCTTTCTGAGGAGCCTTTTGTGGTGGTCTGTTTTTCATTTTTATAAGGAAAATCAAGTTATGGTAACAAAGCTCCACGAGTTTGCCAGCACCGTCGGCACAAAAATTGTACTGGAAGAAGAGTGCCATTTTTCATTCTTTTATGGGGCCATTGGTGACATGTTGTGGAACTGAGATCATAACCCTCGTACTCTATACATATAAAGCACATTTGCAACAGGCATCACTTCAAGCAGTATCTGCTTTGTGCCACTTGTTATAAAGGTTTCCAAACATGTTTACTAAATATAGCAGAAGTGATATGAAAGACCAAAATCCAATGATTTTTTTTTTTTTAAAAGCCAAACAATTATCTCTTGCTCCTGTTTACAAGTAACAATTGTGCTGTGGCTGGCTGGATATAATCATCCAATAGAATTGATTAGTGTGGCTGGCAAGAATGGCAAGAGTTGTTTGTCAGAGTTCATTGCTTAATTACATATCCAGTTTATTATTTTAAAAGTAAATTTCATGTACTATTAAAAATGTTTCATCGCCTAGACATGAGTCTAATACCCTACCATAACTGTGAAACTTTTGGAGTGTGACTCAGACAGCAAGCACACACTATGCAATATGGTTTATCCTGTATTTATTTGTAAAAATATCAGACATAGATCTTCTTTATATATATATATATTAGTGTCAATATTAATAGTCATGAACTTTTAAGGGGAGTGGAGTTCTAACTCCTGTATAGCTACTTCAGACAAATGCTAGTATACAGAGTGCATTGAATATTGGAGAGCTTAACAAGTGCTTTTTTGTTCATTTCAAAAATTGTCTTAAATTTTTCTTTAGAGTATAGAATCTTATTTTTATTTTTTACAAGCTGTGCTTTTTTAATTATAATCACTGAAAATTTTGCTATCATTTGACTTTTATAGGATTTTTGTAGCATTACAAAAATATAGTAAAACTGAGGTTAATATCTGCTGTGGGTAACCATGTAAAAGTATTAAATCTTAAACTTGAACCAGATTCAGTTTTTTTTACTAGATGTTAAATTAGAGGGCTATTTTGTTCTGCAGTTCATTCTAGAAACTATAAAGACTTATAGGTTGGCTGTGTTACCAGCATTTTTTTCTTTCCCATTTGATGTGGAACACTTTCAACACTTTCTCTATAGAAGGAGTGATACATACATACATTTGATTCCATTAATGTACTGAATTTTGTAATTTTGGGAATGCTGGAATAATTCCTACCGAGACTGTCTTAATTGTGCCATCTGACATTTGAATGTCATCCTGGTATTAGCTGGTAATAAAAGATAAAAATGCGTCACTTGTTCTCTTGAATATCCTTTTTTTTTTATTTTTTTTTTTTTTATTAAAGTGTGTATTCCTATAAGAAAAGCTAAATTTCTGGAGAACAGACATTAATGTTTGTGTCCACTCTAATTCTAGAGATATTGGTTTTCTTGGGTTTGTCTCCTTAATAAATGAGTAACTCCTGGTCTGTTAACAGTCATGGAAGAGTGCATATTCAGATCAAGAGGGAGACTGCAACTCTTTAATATAAAAAAACCCAAGCATTTGTTGCCCTGTCTCTACAGCAATAGTCTCAAGTAATCTGTGTTCACAAAGCAAGATACTGTGTGTTCCATTGTTCCAGGTACTGCTACACTTAATCTACTGGGGGGGTGGGGGGGAATTCCTGTTAATCAAGAGTCTGTCCTTATCATGAACAGCACAAGTATTGTCTCAAGGAAATAAGACATTTCTATGCTACATGTGTAGATTCTTGGGGGCTGAGGGTATGTGGTTCATTGTGTATTTTTACAAACTGTTCTTTTCTGCTATATCAAATTGACTTTGTATCTATCTGTAAAACTCTTCAGCTGCCTTATTAGGAGTGGTATGAGGGTAATCCCCGTTCTGCTTTTCATTTTGTATTTAGTTTACTGTAATAAAATATACTTGATTTCTGAATGGATGTAAATAGCAATTAAATGCAAATTTGAATGAACATATGGTAGTAGAAGTGACTTATTTTTTTTCTTCTCTTAAATAGGGGAACCCCTAAGTTTGACAGTTTGGACCTTCATCCATAATTTATACTTCATGAAATGGAGGAAAACCTTAGCGAGTTTTAAGAAGTGGCCCGACTGAAGCTAGATACAACCAAGTAATGTGGTTTATGAAGTGTGGTACCTCAGCTAGGTCCTTAAGCCTTTGAAAGGTGGCTGTGAATTTCCATTAGTTATCCACTCCTCAGTGGTCTGCCTCCTGCAGGGTGAGATGTGGATCTCTCTATGTATGTGTAGCTGAAGACAGTGGTTTGGGGGTTGATAGGGAAGGGAGATGCTTCTCTCCCTAGATAGGAGCATGATGTTGACAGGCAGACCGAGAGGAAGGATGGCATTCAAGTTATGTAAGTTACTCACTTTTTTTCTTCTACATCTAAGCTGAAATGCATTCTCACATCTGAGAAGTGTCAAGCTTTTGTTTTAGTTCCTTATTTGGTTTTTGTAATCAACTTATTGTTATTAAGATTACTGGGTTTGGATAACTTCAGTCAGTTCTCCCCAAATAAAAGAGAACCCCAGGGAGGGGTGGTATAGAGTTTCTGGAACCTACTGTCTGACGTGTCCTCTCCCTGTGTTGTGTGAACACCAAAGGACCAAGCTAGAGATGAGTTGGCAGCCAAGATAGCCATGCTATTTTTTTTCTTTTCCCCTCCAATTCAAGTTGAGCATAGTCCATTGGTTGCCTTACAGGAAAATTCCTAAGTGATCTCTGGGTCAGAGGACATTATCAGGTAAACTTGTTAAATTTCCTTAACCAAATTAATATCTTAAATATTTTAAAATATAATTTGTCTACTTTTATTTACAAATAAACCAGGCAGGAAGGTTTCACTTTCTGGTTCTTATGTATTAACGTGTTTATGGGTTATATATGCTGTGATGTAACAAACTCCTCTTCACTGAATTTTATTAACTTCTTGAAGCATTTATCTTGTTGAAAACCTTTTTTTTAAATGGTGTTGCCTATATTACTTAACTTTCCCTTACTAAACTTTCCAAAAACATACTTTTGTGCTTGATTTGATTAGCAAGAAGTCCATTCTCTTAGTGTCATCGCTCCCAACCTCCCTGTGGGTAAATCTCAAAGCAGT